TAATTGGACAATCCGTTGTTGGTCATAATGTCTTTTGTGGATTTGGGGGATATGATCGACACAATTGTCAAAATGAAGCATCACAAGCTGCTAAATTATATATAAATGGACTCCAAAAATCTATTCACAGATAAAATCATAACATCAAGTAGCATTAGATAGTCGAAAGTAAGATATTTCAACTTACAAAATAAATTAAGCAAAGGTTGAAGAAACCGTTAAATTGGACCTCTAATCAAATAGAGAGAACCAACTGAAACAGGATAAGAAACGGATAAAACAATGTATTAAAAGAAGATTTCTTTGTTTGGTATGAAGTAATTTTATACAATACCCATTAAATGTCGTGGTGCTACAAAACAGAAGTATGTGACTTTTTCAGTTGTCGTGCCATGCCGCCCCAATGCTATTTTTCTTCCATCACCTGAAACAAAACATAATTAGTTTAAAAGAATCCACATCCTCTTATATGTTATCCAAATTTCACTTTCATATGGCCCTGTAAAGTTGTATATATACCATTCACCTTTTTGAACCCACACTTTTGTAATCACCGTTTTTAAAATTACCTCTACTTCCACAATATATTTTCACAACCACTTCATGAGTAAATTATTTGTTTCCTTCATCTATTTATTTCTAAGGCTACTATCTTGTTGTCCAATGTGACATTGTCCGACTTTATTAGATGTATCGCCTTGTTCTCTCTGTTTCTTTGTCATTTTTCCACTTCTCATTATGTCTCTTTCATAAAACTTCTATGTCATATTTATAGCATGGGGGGAAGACAGACATCAAATAAATACTACTATCAATTAGCCTTATATTTCTTTCCATAGTTTAAAAGTATTATTTCTCGTTAATATAGGATTAGGCAACATAATTAAAATGTCAATACTCAGTCTACTTGGCTAAAAAAGATAAATTTTGATTTAACAACAGTGTCATCATATTGAATCATTCACTTGAATCTGAAAGGGAAATTCAGTAGAGAAAACAATAAAGAGTTAAACTATGAAACTTATAGCAGCACATGTTGCTACCATCAATACATTTCCTATAAAAATGAAATGTCCAAAATAACATTGATACATAGCTTATAATTTTATATCTCAAAAAAATGATAGAATTTACTCATACAAATGGAGAAATAGAATATGCTTCTTACAGTCAGCAGAGGGAATCATATCATTCGTATCATTCCTGACTCAATCCAAACCGAAGGCATATTTTCATGCGGCCTGCAAGAAACAGGAAAAAAGACATAGCAAAAGATCACTTTTACTTGATATATAATTGTGAAAAATAAATATAAATGCATAACATTAGAAGGGTTTTACAATCGTTTGTTATGAACACATGAAACAAAAATTTTGAGAAAGCATAAGATGATATGACAGACTTCTAGAACTCAATCCAGTAACAGAATTTTCAATATTAAAGTTTCAGCTTTTATCCAAGAACTGCTAAAAATAAATGCAACACCAACATCACGATTCATTGGCAAAAGTTTAAATGTTCTTAAGAAAATGTGGAATGGTACCTTAAAGGACTTGGAAATTGGAGAGCCAGAAATGAACCTTTTCACCTGATTCAACCTGCTTGTTATTCTGACTTTGTATTTAAACAATTTGTCTTTGAATACCACCTCAACTTACTATATTAGTAGTTGAATTTTTTCAAAAATGTAGTTCAAACAACAAAAAGATCAATACTGAAAGCTTACCCTGAATTTTCAGCATTACGTTATCACTTCTAATTTCATGGCAGCATCAAAGAATTCGGCAACTCAAATTCTTACTCAATATTTTTTGGGGAAAATACCATATGAAAAAAAGATATTATAAGGGAAAATGTCTATTCACCTAAGCCCACAATTCAACTTCATTAACACCTTCAATCATCTGCCAAAACAATCAACTCTTGTAACTAATCTCTCTTCATAACACACAAGTCTTACCTTCAC